ATAAAGACAACTTGCTTATAGTGACTACTTTATAAAAAGACTCCTGCTATAGTGACTACCTTTATATAAAGACTCCTGCTATAGTAACTACCTTTATATAAAGACAACTGCCTATAGTTACTACTTTATATAAAGACTCCTGCTACAGTGACTACCTTTATATAAAGACTCCCTGCCTATAGTAACTACCTTTATATAAAGACTCCCTGCCTATAGTGACTACCTTTATATATAGACTCCCTGCCTATAGTGACTACCTTTATATAAAGACTCCCTGCCTATAGTGACTACCTTTATATAAAGACTCCCTGCCCATATTGACCACCTTTACATAAATACCACCTGCCCATAGGTTGACAACCTTTATATAAAGACCACCTACCCATAGTGACAACCTTTATATAAAGACCACCTACCCATAGTGACAATTAACCTTTACATAAAGACCACCTGCCCATAGTGACCACCTTTACATAAAATCCACCTGCCCAAAGGTTGACAACCTTTATATAAAGACCACCTGCTTATAGTGACAACCTTTATATAAAGACCACCTACCCATAGTGACAACCTATATAGAAAGACCTTCTGCCCATAGTGACAATTAATCTTTAGGGAAGAGTAGGAAATCAAACGGGCGGTGCATCGCAGTCATTATCGCGGTGTACCGCAGAACGCCGGGGAGAGCCGTGGACTGCTTATAATTAGGGGTCTCTACCGCTGTATCGGTCTCTACCGCGGTCCTCGGTAATGTGTGAAATACGTACTTAACAGTTTCTTTGTGATTCCACGAGTCATTGTTTTAAAATCCGATGCTGTAAATGAATACAATATGTGCGCTTGTTTAGTATTTAGTACATGTATTTAGCGTAAATTTCCAAAGTGATGCGATACAATTTTTCATGGTACATGTAGGTATACCTTTATTACACTGGAATAAAGTTTACAATTGAAAAGAGGACGATTTACAAAGCTTCAGCGTATCCAAGCCGTATCCTGGTTCTTGATTGATTTGGCAGTATCATGTTCACCATTTGTGTCACACTCCAGAAAAAATGGCCAGCAAACGAGAAACGGGCGAACTAATCAAAACACTGACAATGACATAATTATTTTCTGTTTCGTTTCATATAAAAATCTTGCCTTGCGCATGTATTCTTGGTTGACAGAATCTTTTTTAAACAAAAGACGTTATTTTTCTGTTACATGTTTGTGTTCCATGGTACTCATGAATGTAAAAGGCATTTTGAATGAATAATTATTGAGTTTATGATACCGTACGATAACGCTAGCTGGCTCGATTAGAATTTCATTGCGTGTGAACCGCTGAGGTCATTGCCCGTTACTGTGCCAAATGCACGTAGTTCAAAAGCGCCTGACGTTGTTTTGTATATTTTTTTCACTCGCAATGTAAGCGATCGAATACTCTGCATTCAAAGTACGCTGCCCCGAGTTTGAAATTACAGTAAATTGTAACGCATGGATTTTATTTACATGAAATTTAGTTTATTTCAAAATGATATAGATGTCAAACCATAATTATTATTATTTGAAATGTTGTTTCTTGACTTGACTTTTCTGGCTTTAATGTTTTGTGTGTGCGTGTTTGTTTACAATATCATTATCAACAACAGTTATTCAATGGCCCTGTCTCTGAGGCAGTAAGTC